TTCCAGCCTCACAGAGGGTGCTGCCAACCTCCAGGGCCACCTGGCACTGGAGCAGCAGAGCTGTTCCACACCGAGGCCTCTTCTCCTGCCTTGCCCAACCCTCTGCTCTGGAGAGGAGCACCCACAGCACACTTCTGCTGCCCCCTCTAGCAGAACCCCCTCAGCAAACCACATCCAACCCCTGAACTCTGCAGCTCAGCCTCGGCTCCCCAGCCTTGTGCTCAAGGATCTCAGATCAAAGCTTGAAGCATAACACAGAAATGCCCAGAAAGCATTTGGATTTCACAGGTAAGGTAGATGCTGCCTTAAGGCAGATGTGCTGCAGGAAACCCCTCCCAGGGGGTTTAGGAGTATGCGTGCAGAAAGTGAGTAAAGCGATTGTAAGGAAAAATAGGAAAATAAGCAAAACAAAACAAACCATACATGCAACAGTGCACTTACATCTTATTGATAATGAACATTAAAAAAAAAAAAGGTGTAAAGTGGCAAGACTGCCAGGCCTTTGTGATCCCAGTGAACCACATTTCCATGATGTCAAGAACCATCACAAAAATGATGTAGAAAATTTGTAACTTGCATTTTGTTTCAAAGTGTGTCTACTCCAATTCCCAAAGCAGCCATAGGGCAAGCCTCCTCAGTATGACGCTACCACTGGAAGGACTTGGACTTCAACATCCCACATTACCTAACCCACTGAAAGCCTCTTTAGACCAACACAGAAACTGAAACACCAGGAACCAAGAGCCAAGGGACAAGGAGGGAAGGGTGAAGGGTCTCACATTTATTCCTTCATGTCCCTTTTTTCCATCCCTCTGTGCAGAGGCAGGATAGTTTGCTCTCTGTGGAAATATTTTAGGAATAGGCAGTTGACCATCTCCAGAATAAAATAACCGATCCTGTGCTAGGCAGAGAGCAAGACAATTAAATACAACCCAGGAGATCACATTTGACACATCACTGGCCCCATTAGCAAGGCACAAGGGCTCTGGTGAGCAGAAGGGCCTGGGGCTGACAGCTCTGAGAGCAGGACCGAAGGCTCCTGACACCCACCCTGCCCCAGCAGCCCCCGCTGAGAACCGCTCACCGCAGCTTCAACAGGGGGCAAAGATCTGACCATGCCAACACTTCCAGGAGCTCCTTCAGAACTCAGGAGCTAGTGATTAATTCCCAACACAGTAGTGAAGTGCCCAACACAGCTGGCAGATTTTGCCCCAAAATGAGATATTTGCACCAAATGAATTCCATAAACACCTTGAAACGAGCTTCAAACAGCTACTTGGAAATCTCACACCAAGATTTAAAAATAAATAAATAAAGAATTAAAAATAAATAAATGAAAAAGGAAGCAGCACTTTTAACATGGCACAATAATCCCTGCCTTACGAATAGGGATTCATTCTGGGTTCAGATTCAATTCTGACAATCCCACCCAACTGAGTTATGGGGACTGTGCTGTATTTGCTGAACATGCCGCAGGTCACAGCCAAGGCCATCTTCTTGTAGGACAAGAAATGCAATCCCAACTCTGGTGTGCAAAGGGTCATGCTAAACATTGGCATGCTTCAGTGTATGACTGCCTTAGAGCCTCAAAGAAAGTCTCAAAACAGAAAGAGCCTCATCATTCACAGAAGACCCACACTCCACAGAAGGCAGATTTCCATAAGAACATGATTTCATAATTAGTTAAAATCAAAATTCTTCTCGCTGATGACCCCCACCATCACCTCTGAGTGCTGCAGACCGATTCCCAATACAATGGGCACTCTGTCTTCCCTGACACTCCCAGGAACTTTGCAGGCAGGACGGACAGCTCCCTGCAAAAAAACAAGCCCAAAGCCAGGCTTATACAATAGATGTTTGTCACCATTGTCACACCATCACAAAGGGGAAAGAGGAAGCACAAGCTGCAATATTGGCCCCTGTTATGAAAGCAGCAGCTTTGTTTGGGCAGGAAAACAAAACCCACCGAGCAATCGGAAGAGAAGGATTGTTAAAGCAAACAGCAAAGGAGCACAGGACCAATGGGACAGTCATCCTCAGCAGAGAAACCCAGCAACTACCAGCTCTGCCATGGTGCTCCCGTTCTGCTCCCCACAAAGGGCTGCCCAGGCTCCCAGCCCAGGATCCAAGCGCCTCTGCTTCCACCTCTCAGTCCAGTCCTTATGGACCTTTTCCTACTACCTCAGCCTTCTACAGCCCTGCTTTCCCCTGCTCTGTCAGCACTCCCAACCTCCCCTCTCTGTGCACAAGCTCTCTGCCAGGCTCTCCCCTCAACCTGCAACTACAAGATGAACCATTTATCACAAACCAGTGGTTTGAACTGCATTTTCCTTGGTTTCAGCAGCTACATCATCCAGAGACCCATGGCATGGGCTGTTACCTGAAGACAACTTAAAAAGAGGAAACACTACCAAGGAAAACCAGCTAAGGGTAAAAAGCATTCCAAAAATCATCCCTTAAAAGGTCCCTGTCCACAAGAACTCTAAGACATGCTCCCTTGAAAATAATTTCCTCTCTTCCAAGACAGAAGCCTACAGATATAAGAATGAGCAAGAAAATAAATATTAGCCTTTATCCTAAAGTACATTTAGCACCTGCAGAGAAGTATTTAGGAATTAGGAAGCGCCTCTGCCCAGTTACATTTGGTGCCCAAAGAGGAAAAATAGCAAGAAAACAAACACATGGATTTGAAAGCATGATGAAGAAAGAACTTTTTACCTATCAAATAAATATTACTATCAGTGCATAGTCAGTGGCTATCACTGTTGGAGGGAAAGCCTGAAATTACTCTGTGAAAACACTTTACACCCTTAAAAACAATGACATTAAGGCAGATCAGGAATGTTTCACCCTCTAAGCAGAACAAGGTGGGGGGATGTTTTCCTTGTTTTGGGGAGAAGCAGCAGTTTCCAGAATGAACATGTCGATCTTTGCCTTTCTCCTATCTAAGGCCATTGTTTACATTTGTAAATGAAGTCTGCAAATCTGCTGCTCAGAAAAAGTTTAATTAAGAACCGAATTTAATAACAGGTTCAGGCGACTTAACTGCCTTTAGAAGCATTAATTTCATATTAGAAGTAATTGACCTCTATAAGGGAACAGCACTTGACACAATGACACAGTCCTGCAGCAGGACCCAGGCTGCTGGCACTGTGCAGCACTGAACTGGATCAACTGGGACCAGATTCCCTCCAGCAAGAGGCTTTTTAAAACCTCCAGGGACCTGGCAGGTAGGAGATGGATGGGCTCCAGCTCCATCCACAAGCAGAACATCACTCGCTTACCGTCAGTGATGTCTGCAAACAGCAAAGTTCTACTATCAACTCCCGCAGAACATGGCCTTAATTTAATCCCTGGCCCTGATGCTCTTCCTCCTGCTGTCACTCGTATCCCAGCCCTGCTCCCACAGCCTGTGTGAACAGCAGAGCCTGGCCTAGAAAGAGAGCTGCTCCTCCTTCTATCAGTTCCACTGTCAGAAGACAATCCTGCTTTCACAACCTTTCTTCCTGCTATTACTCAGGAGAAATCCACTATTCCTTCTCCTGCCACACCACCTCAGGAGCAGTGACAGGTCAGGGTGAGTGCCCCATGGTGCTGCCAAGACCACACTCACTGAGTGATTGGCTATCCAAGCACTCTGCCATCAAAACCTCTCCTGAAAAGACCAGAGCCACGCCTGGTCCTTGTGGCAGGCATCCGGAGAGAAGGCAGGCACCTTCACTGGAAGACAAACAGCCAGGGTCTCCAGGGAATATCCCAGCACAGCCCTGGGACAGGTGGGCACACCTGCCTCAAAAGGCACAGTAGAAACAAAGGGAAGAGGTCCTGGCCATGCAACCATCCAAATGACTGAGGGTGCAAAAGGCCACTGCCGCCTCAGAGGACCCTCCAGGACATCCCACCATCCAGCAGGCACCAAAGGAGAGCTGACTGTGGGACCCGTTCTCTACCTGCTGTGCACCCCAGCTGAACCACAGGCAGAGAGCCCAAGACTGTATCAATGATGTTCTCACTGTGTTCTCATGCATTTGAACATCTCCTCTGCAAGTCACTCTGCAAGAAAAACTCCCCTATAATTTCCCCTGTCTCTAAGTTCATTGTATGGAAGCTACCACGCACCCTCTGATTTTCTCACACAGCCGAAGAGTCCTCCGTGCCAAGAATAATACTTCTCCCTATTCCAAGAGGCAAAGTAGGCCTAAGAGCACTTTTAAAACAATTGTGCCTGATTTCATCTGAAGCCATGCAGGGTGTTTTTAAGCCACAGCACAAGGACCAAGCCCTCTGCTCCAACAGCTCCTGGGGCAGGCATGAGGCTCGGGAAGGGCACGGGCTGTCAGACGGAACCGCAGCACAAGGGCCAAACATGAGCAAGTCCAGGCAAGAGAGTCTAAGCAGCTACTCCTGAAACACACTCCCCAAATCAGCCCAGACTCACAAGTTCTTGGTTAGCAGACTACAGTGCACAGCCTTCAACATCCTCCTTCCATGCATGCTCACAACTCCCAAACAACAGTTAGTTGCAACTTCCCTAATGGCAGCACAGTAGAGGAATGAAACATTAAAATGGGTATTTTTAAGCATAAAAACCATCCAGAGCTATAAGCCAACATCAAACACCGTGAGCAAAGAGTACAGAGGCAGGACCTGTCCCATCCCCAGGGAGCTGCCGTGGGTGTCCAACGCTGTCACTTGACCAGAGTCTGCTGCTCTGGGAGGATGCTGGAAGCAGGCAGAGCACTCCAGATCTACTGGCACGCAGCTGGCAAGGCCAGACGGTTCTTCCCACCGCGTGGGAGCTTGGACCAGCGGCAAGATACCCACCAAAGCCGGCGAGCAGGGCAGCCTGCGGTGCCCGTGTGCTGGTGACACTTTGTGTCACGTTTGGACCTGTGGTGAGCCCCGAGCCCCGCACCGCGGGCACCGGCCCCGCAGAGCTGCTGCCGCCAGCGGCCTTGCGCTCGCTCCGCCCGCCCGGACGGGACGAGGCCCCCGCTCACCTTGAAGTCGCGGCTGTGCTGCGGGGTGTACTCGAGCGTCCAGAGCGCCCGCACCAGCTGCGCCAGCTGCTCCGTGACCTCGCCGGGCGCGGGCGGCGGCCCGTCGGCGGGGGGCGGCCCACCGCGGAACTGCTCCAGCGCCAGGAACTCGGCGAAGAGCTCGGTGTTGCTGAGGCACTGCAGGATGGCGTTCATGAAGCAGGTGTTGCCGTGGTTGCGGAGCCCCGCCACGCCGGGCACGGCCTCGGAGCTGCCGGCGGGGCGCGGCGGGGGCTCGGGGCTGCGCGGCGGGCCCGGCGGGAAGCAGCTGCCCAGGCCGCCCGTGGCCTGCGGCGGGGGCAGGCGCGGGGCGAGCGCGCCGCGGGGCTCAGGCTCGCTGCTGTAGTGCGAGAGCGTGGAGAGGGTCTTCAGCACGCGGCTCATGAACCCGCCGAGCGACCGCCCGGACGGGGCTGCGGCAGGGGTGGCGCTCGGGGCCGAACCCGCGCCGCCGCCCGCCGCGCGCCCGCGGAAGAGCCGCTTGCTGAAGGAGCGCTTCTCCTTGGCGCTGCCGGCCGGCCCGGGGCCGCTCACCCGCGACATGGCGGCGCGGCGCAGCGCGCATCCCCGCCCGGCGCTCGGCCCGCTCAGCCCGCGCGGCGCTCGGCCCGGAGCTCGGCCCGGAGCTCAGCCC